CCCCCCCCCCCCCCCCCCCCCCCAGTCTTTACTCAGAAATTTCACGGTATCTGTGTGGGAGTCCACCTCTCTCTCACCTATACAACTCTTTATAATCCACCTGCAGACAACATTTTTAGGCATCATTCAGACTGCATTCATTCCCTCTGAAGTATTTAACACTGTTGATCACTTACTATTTCAGAACACTGTTACCCTTTCAGGACATGACTGTTTTCCTCTTTTTCCTGTGCTCATTTAATTGTACTTTATTTTTTCCTTCCCACTCCCTTAATCTATAGTTCCCCATGGGAGTGAAATTGCCAGGGAGATTTTAAAAATACACACTCATGCACATGCCTTGAACCACCAGCTTTCAGTTACAAGCTTGAGAATATAAACTACTCGTTCCTATATTAATCACCCATCTCTGTTCTACCAAATTGTATCCCATCCAAATTCTTTAAAATTCTATTTAAAATTTACTTCCTATGAACTTTTTCATTTAAGTGCAGCTAATAAGGTATCTTTCTACAGAATGAGCTAGGACCAAAATTTTTCTGTAAAAACAGATTATAAAAGTTGAAACTAGCATTTTTTCTAAAAAAGCTTAAGTTGTAGCCAGACTCAGTGGCTCAGCCTGTAATCCCGCGCCTTTGGGTGCCTGAGGTGAGTAGATTGCCTGAGCCCGCAGGTTTGAGACCCGCCTGGGCAGGCGAGACCTCATCTCTACAATAAATCAAAAAATTAGCCGGGCGTGGTAGCGCGCGCCTGTAATTCTGGCTACTCGGAAGGCTGAGGCAGAAGGAACGCCAGAGCCCAGCAGGCGAGGCTGCGGTCGCCGGGAGCAGCCACTGCACTCCAGTCTGGGCAACAGAGTGAGACTCCAACTCAAAAAAAAAAAAAAAAGTTTAAGTTGTTTTTTTCATTTCTATTTGCTAAATTCAACATAGTATCTTGGAAGTCTATTTAGTTAATAATTAAAAGTATAGTTTAATTAAAAACTTAGTTAATAGTATTTGCCAATGTTAATTTCTTAGTTTTGATGAAAGTACATGATGGTGTAAGATGTTAACATTAGGGGAAGCTAGGTAAAGGACATCCAGGAACTCTGTACTATCTTCCCAAGTTTTCTGTAAATCTAAATGTATTCCAAAGCAAACGCTTTCAAAAATACTACATTTGAGTAACTGTGGTAAACAGTTCATCTCATTCAGCCACTCATTTTGTAGATGAGGCCTATACCCCTAAGAGGCTGAGAGTTAAATATTACCAAGTAAATTAATGACAGCTTGTACCTCCCTATTTAATATTTTATCTACTGCCTATACTTTTAATGATGTGTAGTCTGTACCCATACAACCTCACAAAATATGCTTCATGAAGTAGATGCCAGTTAAAGCTATTGACTGAGCCACTTTTATAATCCTCTTCATGTTCTCACAGTTTAGCTTAGCTGTGATCATCCCATAAAAATCTAGAGACATTGAAGAGCATACATATATGTATGATAACAGTTTGGTTACAAAAAAAAAGCAAAACTTTCTCGATTACAGGTTAATAGCCAATTGAATGCTGGTTAATATAAGGAATCATTTTTAATTCCACTGTAAATGAAACATACTCATACTTAAAGACAGTATGACAGTGAGTAAAATACTACATTTCCTGTGACTTAACAGAAGCAGAATAAGACACAGTAATTTTAAATTTATTCAGACTTTGAGAGCTTTGAAAAGGAGAGAATGTTATACTTGTGTAGGAATTGTTTATTCTACCTTAATTCAAAAAAGGGTAATCCTCATCCTAGTACTGGTTTGGTTTTATGTTTAGAAACTCCAAGATAGTCAATCATTAAATGTATATAATTTTAAAAGCATGATTTTAAGTAAATCCCTACATATAATCTGGTACCTTTCTTAATCTTTGAACCTTACCTAACTCCAGATTTTTTATTTTTATTTAATAGACTTTTTATATGAAAATAAGATATACTATTTCAGTAGTATGAAAATGTATAAAACATAATTGAAACCACCTCCTTCTTTCCTCTCATGACTCACCCTGCATCTCATCACATGCATACACAAAATCCCCAAAGTTAACAATTAGCATATTTGTGCCGCACATTTCAGACTTTTTTGTGCATTTTTTAAAAAGTTAACACCTCTGTGATCACACCATACATACTGCTTTCCAGCTTCCCTTTTTTCTACTATTATATAGCACCAATATATTGAGGAAATCTTCAGATATATATATGTTCACCTTATTCCTTCTTGAACACCTGCAATAGTAATATGCTAAGACACTGTATCTTTTGTCATTATGTATCACTATTTAGGTAGTCAGTGCCCTGTAGTTCCAGTTTTTTGGGGGGTTTTTTGCCATTAATCATGCCTCAATGAACATTCTTTTTTTTTTCACACTACTAAAGTTAATTTTATTTGTTCAAGGACTCATATTGCAAGCATTAAACCAAGCATGGACTTTGGTTCTGTAAGCCCAAATTCACATATTAAGGAAGAGAAAAGCCACTGTGATTCATGTACATGAATGAAAACTGAAGGCTTGGGGTTAATCATATTGTAATTTTTAAATTTCTACAACTTTGAACTGCATAGTCACAGGTCTTTTAGATCCTTCTGGATGTCCCACAGATGTCTCCACACTTTTCTTGAGCTGAGCAACCTCATTGTCCTTTAGCTTCTGGTTAATAACACTCGTTAATCCCTGAGCATTGAAGATACAGGGAAGGCTCGGGAAGACATCATTCTCAATGCCATTGCTGAGACTGGATGAATCCTGAATAGATTTTTCAACATAGATTCAATAAGATTAGCTACACTTAATCCAGTAACCCAGTTGGTATATCCCTTAAGTTTGATGACTATAGGCACTCAACCAACATCTTAGGCACTTCCTTCCAATTTTCACTATCTGGATTCAATTTCTGGAGAGAAACACCTGCCATTCACTCCACTCCATACAACCACTTGAGTCGCCATGTTCTTTCAAAATCCACCCATGGCAGCTGCTGGGATGAATGCCAAGTTTTTCAGCCATAAGGTAGCGAATTCTAGCAGAGTCCAGATTACACCCACTTCCAATCACACAATGCTTAGGTAATCCACTTAGTTTTCAGGTAACATATGTAAGAATGTCCACTGGGTTGGAAACCACAATTATAATATAATTAAGGACTATACTTGACAATATGATGAATTTGAAGACATTAACATTTCTCTGCACCTGACTGAGATGACTCTCCCCCTCTTGCTGACGGACTCCTGCAGTTACCACCACAATCTTAGAATTGGCGATCACGGAGTAATCTTAATCTGCCATGATCTTAGGTGTCTGAAGAAGTAAACTCCCATGCTGCAGATCCATCATTTCTCCTTTAAGCTTATCTTCCAAAACATCCACAAGAGCAAATTCGTCAGCCAGAGACTTTCCCAGAATGTTGATAGCACATGCCATACCAACTTGTCCAACACCTACTACAGTAATCTTATTGTTTGGGACCATTACCTCTTCCTCAGCAACTGGTGCAATGAGTTTTTCCTTAAGAGTTGCCATTGTGCACAGAAGGGTGAAGGCTCTGGGGACCGCAGCAATAGTCCTGCGAAGAAGACAATGTCAGCTGCATGTGTTCAGTGAACATTCTTAAGTGCATATATTTGTATACATATGTTAAGTTTATAGGATATTATCCTGAAAAAAAAAATTCCTGGAAGTGGAATTCCTGAACCAAAAAATAAACACATTCTAAATTTTTATAATGGTTCCCAGGTTGCTCTACACAAGAATGGTACCAATATATACTTACGTCTAAAGAGAGTGCCATTTCTCCAAATCTTCAACATACTAGATGTTATTAGCTTTTTAATCTTTCCCTATCTATTAGATTTAAAGTGGTATCCTGTAGATTTAAGTTAATTTACATTTATTTGATGATGAATGCAGTTATACATCATTTTATATGATGTTCATTTATATATACATTTTCTTTGTACTGTTGATGTCCTTTACTCATTTTTCTCATGAGCTTTTGTCATCTTCCTATTTTAAGAACACTTTCTAAGTTAAGGAAATAAACTCAAATATGTCACAACTGGGTTGGGTTTTCTCTCCCCTCCCCCCCTTTAAAAAAATATATATGGTGTCTGTGCTAATAATTTTAAAAATTTTAATAAATTTTTAAAGACTCTAATTGGTCTTTAGACTTTTGTTGAACCCATCTGCCCTTTCACAACAAATTATGTCAAGTACAAATGGATAGGCTTCTATTTGTGAGCCATTTTATGTAAGTATATGCTGATACATTTTATTTAATCTTGAAGTCTTATTAGATATTTCATTGCTTTTTGAATGTTACATTTTTACAGGCCTCAGACATCCAGGCAAGGACAGTAGTACTTACCTGGTCACCACCTTCCAGCTTCATTAATGGTGAAACAGATGAAACTACTATGCAAGAGCCTTATGGTTATGAAGTTTTGGTCTCGAGTACTGGAAAAGATGGGAAATATAAAAGTGTATATGTGTAGGTATTTGTTTTGTTTTGACTCTCTCACATTATATAAGTTAATAGTTTATCATAAAGAGCTTATTACTAATTTTACTCTATTTTTATTTCTTCATGCTTTTATTTTGAATCTATGAATTGACCAGTGTTAATGATTGCAGTGCACATACTGCCTGGTATACATTTCTCTCTACATGCCCTCAAAATTATCTGTTATATTGGCCACAGTCAGTTTTTTGTTTGTTTGTTTGTTTTCCCAGTAGACTCCCTAATACATATTTCAGTATTCACATATTCTTGATGCATTAAGTATAAATTGTAGTATGTAAAACCCAGGATCACAAATAGAGAACTCATGATTATGAACTCATGACGTATGGCATTGCTCCTCTAAGGACTTGGATTTAATTTTTACATGTACAAGTTCATGTCCTGTTGTAAAATGAGTTTAGTAGTAGTGTTCCTCATTTGCATGTTATATTAATAATCATTTTGAAAACCTATCATAGTTCTCTTGTCTTAAACATTTATTATAGACGACAGCCTTAGAAAGTATCAATAGCTAAAATTTTGACATTTATAACTGACAGTTTTCAAATAAATTATTTTTCTGTCTTTGTATAGAAATTGATTATTCCAATGAAAAAGGGTAAAACTGATTGTTAGTTATTTAAGCATCAGAAAAATTGTAAAGGTGGTGATTAATCATTTGAATGATTATAACTAACAGAACACTGGTTACATCGGTCTTCTTGGTATCTTTTTTTAAAAAGTAGCTGGTAAAGAGAAGAAAGGTAAATGAAACTGCCCCTAGTCACATAAGGTATCCTCTGATAGAATGATTTCCTTTTCTTTGTGAAAATACCCAGGATCTTTTGGTAGTTCTATTTTTAAAAGTTTATTGAGACATCTCATACTGTTTTCCATAGAGGCTATATTAATTTGCCTTCCCACCAACTGTGCATAAGAGTTCTCTTTTCTCTGCATCCTTACCAGCATCGGGTATTTTTTTGTCTTTTTAATAATAGCCATTCTAACTGGAGTAAGATGATTTCTCATTGTAGTTTTGATTTGCATTTTCCTGGTGATTGGTGATATTGAAGATTTTTTTCATATACTTGTTGGCCATTTGTGTGTCTTTTAAGAAATTCTTGTCCTTTGCCAACTTTTAATTGGATTATTTGTTTTGTTTTGTTTTCCTGTTGAGTTGAGTTCCTTGTTATTCTGAATATTAGTTCCTTGTCAGATAAGTAGTTTCCAAATATTTTCTCCCATTCAACAGGTTGTTGCTTCACTCTGTTGTTTCCTCTGCTGTGCAGAAGCTTGTTAGTTTAATACCATTCCGTTTGTCAATTTTTGTTGCCTGAACTTTTGAGGTTTAAGCATAAAGTATTTGCATAGACCAATGTGATGAAGTATTTCCCTTATGTTTTCTAGTAATTTTATAGTTTTTGGTTTTACATTTAAGTATTTAACCCTTTTGGGATTGATTCTTAAATATGTTGAGAGATGGGGTTCAGTTTCATCCTTTTGCATGTGAATATCCAGTTTTTCCAGCACCATTTATTGAAGAGAGTGTCCTTTCCCCAGTGTATGTTGTTGACACTGTTGTAAAAAATTAGTTGGCTATAAATTTATTTCTGTTTTTTCTATTCTGTTCCAATGGTCTGTGTGTCTGTTTTTATACCAATACCATGCTTTTTTGTCCTTGTAATATATTTTGAAGTCAGGTAGTGTGATACCTCCAGCTTTGTTCTTTTTTCTCAGGATTGCTTTGACTCTTTAGGCTCTTTTGGGGTTCCATATGAATCTTAGGATTGCTTTTTCTAGTTTTTTTACAAAATGACATTGGTATTTTGATAAAGATTGCATTGAGTCTGTACATTGCTTTGGGCAGTATAATCATTTTAATGATATTAGTTCTTCCAGTTTGTGAATACGGGATGTTTTTGCATTTGTTTGTGTCCTCGTCAATTTTTTTCATCAGTATTTTGTAGGGGTTTTTTTTGTGGAGATTTTTCACCTCTTTGGTTAATTTTATTCCTAGGTATTTTTTTTTTTTATTGTAGCTGTTATAAATGTGATTGTCTTCTTGATTTCTTTCTCTACTAGTTACTTATTAGCGTATAGAAATGCTACTGGTTTTTATATGTTGATCTTATATCCTGATCTTTACTGAATTTATCAGCTCTAGGTGTCTTTTGGTAGAATCTTTAGGTTTTCCTGGATGTAAGATTTTGTTATCTGCAAAGAGGTACAGTTTGACTTCCTCTTTTACAGTTTGGGTACTTTTTATTTCTTTCTCTTGCCTGGGTGCTCTGGCTAGGACTTCTAGTACTATGTTGAATAGGAATTGTGAAAATGGGCATCTTTGTCTTCTTCTAGTTCTTTAGAGGAAAGGCTTTCAGCTTTTCCCCTTGCGGTATAATGTTGTTAGCTCTGGGTTTCTCATATGTGGCCTTTATTATATTGAGGTACATTCCTTCAGTGCCTAGTTTGTTGGGTTCAATTTATTCAAATGCTTTTTCTGCATCTTTTTGAGATTATCATATGGTCTTTGTTCTTCACTCTGTTGATAGGATGTATCACATTTACTGATTAGCGTATATTGAACCATCCTTGTGTCCCTAATATAAATCCCAGTTGATCATGGTGTATTATCTTTTTGATGTGCTATTTAATTCAGTTTGGTTGTGTTTTGTTGAGTATTTTTTACATCTGTGTTTATTAGGAATTCTGGCCCTATAGTTTTTTGTTGTTGTTGTGTCCTTTTCTGGTTTTGGTATCAGGATGATGGTGATCTTGTGGAATGAGTTAAGGAGAATTCCCTCTTCTCCAATTTTTTGTAATAATTTGAGGAAAATTGATGTTCTTTGAAAATTTGGTAGAATTCAGTGGTAAAGCTTTTTGTTACTGATCAATCTCATTATTCATTACTAGTTTGATCAAGTTTTCTGTTTCTTCCTGATTCAACCTTGGTAGCTTCTATGTGTCCAGAAATTTATCCATTTCCTCTAGATATTACAGTTTGTTTGTGTATAGTTATTCATAACAATCTCTGGTGAACTTTTCTAACTGTAGTATCAGTTGTAATGTTTCCTTTTTCATTCTGATTTGGTTTATTTGGATCTTCTTTTCTTGATTAGTATTGTTAGTAGTATAGTTCTATTCTGATTTTTTTTTTCCCTGAAACTTTTTTTTTTATTTCGGTAACTTTGGGGGATACACATAGTTTTTTGGTCTGGGCTTTAAGGGTACCTACCACCACCCCTGTGCACACTACCGGTAGGTGATATTTTTTTTGTCCCTCCAACCCCTTTCCCCACCCCTACCCCTCTTTTTTTTTTTTTAAGAGAAGAGGTCTCGCTATGTTATCCAGGCTGAATTTGAAGTCCTGGGCTCAAGTGATCCTCCCACCTCAACCATGTATCTAGGGCTATATGTGTGTGCCACTGCACCCAGCTGTTGCTGTGATATTATTTCTTCCCTGCTACTCACTTTGGATTTGGTTTGTTCTTCTCTAGTTCCTTGAGGTATGCATTGTTAGATTTGGAATCTTTCTGCCTTTTTTAATGTACATGTTTATTGTTACAAATTTCCCTCTTCACACTGTTTTTGTTGTATTCTGGGTTTTGGTATTATTTCCTCCTCAATTTTTTCCTTGACCTAGTGGTCATTCTGAAGCATGTTGTTTAATTACAACATATTTGTACAGTTTCCAAAGTTCCTCTAGTTTTATTTTATTGTGATATTAGAAGATACTTGGTATGGTTTCAGTTTTTTTGTTGTTGTTGAGACTTGTTTTATGTACTAACATATAGTCTACCCTGAAGAATAGTTCATGTGGTGATAAGAAGAATGTGCATTCTGTAACTACTGGATGAAATGTACTGTAAATGTCTGTTGGGTTCATTGAATCTAATGTTCAGTATAAATCCAGTGTTTCTTTGTTACTTTTCTGCGAAGATGATCGTCTAATACTGAGAGTGTAGTGTTGAAGTCCCCTACGGTTATTGTATTAGAGTCAGTCTCTAATACAGAGAATTATATATATATAAATATCAGAATAATAATATTGATTTATAAATCTGGGTGTTCTAGTGTTGGGTGAATGTATGTTC